TAGCTATATATTAGCTGTGGTATCTCAAATCTTTGTGTAATTTTGCCCACTCTCATATACCACATATATAGATTAGTAAATAAAAAAATTGTTACAGATCGAAACCTCCCAAACCTTGAAAAGTGCCACCATGTTGACTACATCCGAAGGATCAGAAGGATTTTCAGCTACGTAAGGGCACCATACAACGCGTGGAGTACTATCCGAGCTACCATCGGGCCAGTTCATGATAGTTATGTAAGTTTCTCTACAAGAAAAACGAATCAAGAAAAAAATAACAACGTAGCAAAGAAACTCACACATCCTGGCAGTCAGCAGTGACCGAATAAACGTGAAGGTTGGACTCGCCATCTACAACGGCAAGGAGAGGAAGATGAGTGGCAAAGCGAAGATCCACTGGAGCTTTCGAAAAACCCTGTAAATGACATAAAAGGAAATGGACAATAGATACGAAAACTCTATAAAGTACCTTGATCAAACGACGATTTCTTGAAACTCTGTTGATTATGCGAATAACGTCACCCGTGTTCTCATTGAAGAATCGGAAAGCAATAAGATCTCCCTGAACCGCGAGGAAACGTCCTTTCAGAGCACGAATCTGAAGCTTTCATAATCGTTGTCTAGGATATATGAGAGAGGCTAAAAGCGAAGGCAGAAGACATAAAATACCAGAGACTAAAACTAATCTGTAATTTTCAATTTTTTCTCACGTACCTATGCATTGAAGATACGAATACAAAAGAATATGTAATAGTCGTGAACATACATCGCCCTTGTAGTCGCTGATGGTAGTGGTGTGAATGCGAGCACTGTCACGTTCCCTTGTCTGCGATTCCAGAGCCAAAGACAGACTGACATTGTTGCCATTGGCAAATTTGATCACTCCATCAGTTCCATCGAGTACGCTGAAAATAAACGCTAAAAATATCACTCAACATTCAATGAGTCATATTAAACCTTTGAAAACGAAACACACATCTGTGGTAGAAATTTATCTAACAAGGGAATGGTCACGAATCGAAGTGGCCAATCCAGACAAGCTGCGTACCATTCGCCGCAGCATAAAACGCTAATTTCAAATCTGTATTCCTTATCTGCTTTTCGCCTTTGTG